TAAACACTCCAAAGTTATTTATCTAAAGAATATAGTGCACCCTATGAATAGAAATTTACTAGAGGTACTTTCAAATGTATATGGTGGTGCAGTGGTTAAAAATACATTATTGCAGGCTAATTGATTGCTTACTCCAGGAGTTTGATTCTGAACGGTTCAAGGTTGACTCAGCCTTCCATCCTTCCGAGGTTGGTAAAATGATGACCCAGAGTTTTGGGGCAATATGTTGACTCTGTAAACTGCTTAGCAAGGGCTGTAAAGCACTGTAAAATGATATATAAGTCTAAGTGCTATTGCTATATTGCAGCCCAACAATCAGCTACATCTTAGCTTGGTTGAAAACAATGGATCTTAAATTACAAGTAGTCCTTGACTTACAACAGTTCATTTAGTGACCATTCAAAGTTACGATGACACTGAAAAAAGTGACCTTTCCTACATGACCGTTGCAGCATCCCCATGATTATGTGATCAAAATTCAGACTCTTGGCAATTGACTCATATTTATGATGGTTGCAGTGTCCCAGGTCATGTGATGATCATTTGTCGCCTTCTGACAAGCAAAGTCAATGGGGAAGCCAAATTTACTTCATAACCATGTTACTAACTTAACAACTGCAGTGATTCACTCAACAACTGTGGCAGGAAAGATTGTAAAATGGGACAAAACTCACTTAACAAATTGTCTCACTCAGCAACAGACATTTTGGGCTCAGTTATGTATTCACAGGGAGTTCATTTGGTTGCTTTATGCAGTCCCAATTTTTCTCTCAGCACTGACCATATCTAGAACTCCTAAACCTAATTATAGATTTGAAGAAAACTTTGGAAATTATCTAGCTGCCATCTTGTCAGAAATCCTGAGAAAATATTGAGACTAATGCTTATAATTTACAGCATAGATTCCTTCAAATAACAACATTTAGGAATCAGCACATTATTTACACCTAGAAATATGGTGTGATTTCAACTACTATTAAGGCTTTCCCTTGATGCAATACTTGTTCTTAGACTTTGGCCAATATTGCTTTGGAAACATCAGAATCTCTTTCCACAGGTACCTAAGTAGAAAATAACTAATTCAATGTTGCCTCTACTGTTGCTAGGTGCCTTTTAATGTTTTAAGCCTATCTTTCTCAGCCTTGGAGATACAGGGCATTAAACTGGAGAATATATGTAGTCCACATATTTTGTAAGAATGCTATTAAAGATACTTAAAGAACTAATATACTGAACAAGAGAGAGAGGAAAGATCATATTGCTGAAATACTGTCAGAAGTGGGCTTTTTTCAAAACAAAATTTGGGAAACAAGCTAAAAGAAGAATAGAAGGGTAGGTAAGTAAAATTTTCAGGGAGAATAAAATTCATGGTTTTGGATAAGAAATCTTCAGCCTCATTTTAAATCCATACTTTTTTATTTTGGGTTTTATTACGCGGTTTTTACAGAAAAATGTAATGATTATTGTAATCAATCTTTGCTGGAATCTATTGGTAGTAATTATAGCAGGGATGAGCCATTAGACATAACATTGCTGTACAAATGATTTCGTTTAGAAGCCGGATGGATGTGCTCTCATTAGCATTAGAACTGTCAGCATTGCATCTATTAAGAATGATTAGTTGTTTATTTTTAAGTTGTTCTCCGATGGGAAATGATGCTATCTCCTTATCAGAGAAGTTTAAAGAACTCTAAAAATAAATCTAGTCTTCTTTCACTTGGCAACAGCCTGCTTATAACTGAAGCCTTCCATGGGCATTTTAAAAGAATTGATTGCATGATTGGAACTGTCTTCTTGATTGAAAATGAGCAGGATTGTTCTTGAGTTGATGGGGTTTAAAGGAAGTTGATGAGGTTTAAAGGACTCAATGGCCAAATTGAAGGTTTTACGTTGTAGTCCTGGTTCCTAGCTGTAGGAAAATGTGATTCTAGGCAGTGGCTAGGAGGAAGAGCTGAGACCTTTTCTAGCAAAGACAAATCAGGAAAGAAGATAAGCAGGTGGTAGCAGCCAAGTTAAATACTACTAAGAAAGGGAAGTGGTGGCTCAGTGGCTAAGATGTTTGGCAGTTTGAATCCCTAGTGCTGTGTAATGGAGTGAGCTCCAGTTACTTGTCCCACCCTCAGCCAGCCTAGCAGTTCCAAAGCATGTAAAAATGCAAGTAGAAAAAATAGGAACCACTTTTTTGGTGGGAAGGTAACAGCGTTCCTTGAGCCTTTGGCATTTAATCATGCCAGCCACATGATCATGGAGATGTCTTTGATGGCTCTTCACTTTTGAAATGGAGCTGAGGACCACCCCCTAGATTCAGGAATGACTAGCACATATGTGTGAGGGAAACCTTTACCTTTAAGAAAGGCAGACTAAGTGATCTATATTAACATTTCTCAACCTCAGCAACATATGGAAGTTTTGACTTCAAATTCCAGAATTCCCCCAGCCAGTTTTAAGAGTCTGTACTTGTTAAAGTTCCTGGGGTTGAGAAACATTGATTTACATTATAGCAATTATGACA